TTATCAATTTTTAAAAACAGGGGTTTATATGTTTTTAAGCACACACACAATTATTCCAAACGGTTATGTTCACCACAATTTATTCCAAATTATACCGTTTGGACAGCCACAGACGTCTTAATATACAGGTTTATTATTTTTAATAACACCTATTCACTATTTTATTTCGTCTGTGATCATTCGCGCACTCATGCATACAACAACACCCAGTGTCCCCCTGACTCTATCCGTATCTAGCATTTTGATACGTGTCAGTAGCGTAACACTATCTAAAATTTAAGTGGCCATTGTGATCCTAGCCATATCTTCAGTGGATATGTGCCACAACGTTACACTTTGATCAATTAATCCCTGTATCTCACAGTTACACCATTTGTGCTCCAGAGATTTCAGTATTTTTCTCAGAACCTAGCCATATCTCTTCTGGATATGTGTCTCAGAAACAATACTCAACTAAAATTTTTGGCGTTCCTCTAATCCTAGCCATATCTCTGATGGATATGTGTCAGCAGTCAACGCCCTTAGCCAATAATTCCCTGTATCTCACAGTTCTCACCCCTGGTGATCCTAGCCTGGAGACTTCAGTATTTTTCTCAGAACCTAGCCATATCTCTTCTGGATATGTGTCTCAGAAACAATACTCAACTAAAATTTTTGGCGTTCCTCTGATCCTGGCCATATCTCTGATGGATATGTGTCAGTAGCCAACGCCCTTAGCCAATAATTCCCTGTATCTCACAGTTCTCACCCCTGGTGATCCTAGCCTGGAGACTTCAGTATTTTTCTCAGAACCTAGCCATATCTCTTCTGGATATGTGTCAAAGAAACAATACTCTACGGTACCAATGTTTTAACATCACATTCACCAGAGGTTTACATGTCACAATATTGTGCTTATCTACTCATAATAGTTTCATAATTTAGTTCACTTACATCAGACAGGTGTTTCACAAAATTAATTTGGATAAAGCCAATTTGCAGATCTTTGGTTATTTAACAACAGGTATCTGCTTACCTTTGTAGAAGCCCGGGCAGTTTGTGAAACACACGGTTCGATTAAAGAGTTGACCAAATGGGCCGGACATTTACCCAGCGAAGTCCCTTCTACCAGATCACGTCGGGGTCACCAATTGTCAATGTCGCGTCAATTCAAATCTGGTATCAGGAACAAAAGAGGTCAACACTACTTCTAAGGTATACTAGTTATTTTAATTAATGCAAAAACCTTCAATGGTAAATATGATGTTTCGTATATACGGGCTCTCTGATATGCCTCGCAGGACATTCCAGAGAACTAACTCATTGCTCTAGAAACAATACCCAAATACTCTGACAGAGGAAGTTTCCCACTTCTCTGCTGGCCAATTAGAGTAAAGACTTGAGCGTGGTTTACACTATCTCAGCCAATCCGTTGATGCAGTGGTTGCTCTCATCTCCTCGGCGCCATTTGTTACACACTCCAGGCAGACACAAGATTATCATAACAACCTGTCATAGTGAGAAGAGCCAGCTCCCTTAGACATCATTCCCATGTCAAAGGAAGACTCATAGATCACAATGAACCATTATAGTCTTGTATTTGAAGACACAATCCTTATCTTCACATCAATCACAGCCTTGCCAGGTGTCACAGCCTACATTAGCCCAGTCAAGAATGCATTCTTTCTAAGTTAGTCATCCTATCAGTTTAGAAGAATAATAAATCCCTAATAAAGCCTACTATCATCTTTGAAACATGTAGTTGTTCACCTCCACTAGATTATTTTAGAGGGAATATACTTCTCCATCCACTGGGCATAATTCAGGGCATAGACCGGACTAACTGCTAGTTGCACTAGCAGTGCTAAAGGTAAACAGATTTTGAAACTCATCCTCATGAGCCAAATCCTAACTGGAAATAAGCACATAGTTCATGGCCTCAATGTAGGCTGTCCCTATCAAATAAATATAGTATTATTTGGCTCCGTGTTAAAACTAATAATTTCTACCAAAATAGGAGCTATGTTGGTTCATGTTCAGTGACTGACTTCTATTTCCTTATGTAGAGAGCAGGCTTGGGCATGTATAGGGATTTATCTGTTTCATAATTCCCCATTTCAAAGCAGCAGTAGACATGCAAAGAAGCAGAATCTGAAAAGATTAGAGGTTTTATTCCCTTTATGAGACAAGCCTTTATCTGCCCACCCCATGTCCCTCATTTCCTGATGGATTTAAACTGCTAGAGCCACTGGAAAACCTCCAGAGATTATCTCCTGAACTTTGAGGACGTTTTGTTCTGTTGGTTCAATATATCTACATATTGCAACAGAACGAAGACTTCTCACATTGTGTATGCTTCATGTACACGTGTGTGTGTGTGTGTGTGTGTGTGTGTGTGAATACACGTGCCACCTGCTTTCGTTCATGCGTGCCCAAAGCCAAGGGAAGTATGGGTGTTGATGGTGCTGCAGCATAAAAGTAGTGCACTGGGCCTTTACTAGTCCTGCATTAGCGGACCGACATAGCTGTCTGTAGCACTGGCAAAAATCATTTTTCAGCATCTGCTTTACTGAGAATGGAACTGAAATGACACTGCATGGGTTAAATTACCTCTGAGCCCCTGCCAGGACAAATCACTGTGCAGATGACCCTGCCAAATACCCTTTTCCCAGTGTTTGCTATGGAATTATTGCAATACAACACCACTCATATATCAGTTTGACCCAGACACTGCGTCAAAGATTAGGCCACTGCACATGTGAAGCATGATAGTTCTATTGACTGTGGGGAAGGGGGGAAAATGCCCCTAGAGTGCATAACACTTCGGGAGTTCAGGTCTCAGTTCAGGTCTCAGACTGAAGACCCTAAAGCTTCCTCAGTCTGTCACACCATCTCCTCTGCATCATACTGTTCACCCTTCTGGTGCTAGGTGTTTTGTCTATTTTAGGAACTGCCTTACATGAAATTCAGCGCTTGGTTTGACTTTGTTTTAACTTCTTCCTGTCTCCCCCTCTCTTTTTCTGTATTTTTTTTAAACTTCTGTTTAAATCCCACTGGCATTACCTTAGTAGGCCTAATCCCCAGATATCAAAACCTTTTCACAATGTCTGAGCTCAGATTGGATGCACTTTAAAGTTTGTTTGATCACACAAAGTTCATCCTGAAAATACCCCATCTCTAGTGCTCTCGTGCTCTCTCTAAATGTTTTCCCCCACTGTCTTAACCGGACCCCAGCCTCACAGTTTACAATTCATTTTAATATGTCATATGTTTGATGATACATTTGTTTGTTTGAGAATTATTTGAAAGAATATGCATTCAATCATTCAGAATGCGTGCGGGTGCTTGATGCAGTATTGTTTTGAGTCGACATTGACACTAGTTGAACAGCTGACCAGTTCACAGCACTTGTCCTCCAGAGCGCATTTTCGCGCGCATTTTTCGAGTTGGCCAGACAGTTCTGACGAAAACTTTAATGAGACAGTGCAACTGAATAATAGTTAATTTTTTGGGGTAAGTAGCCAGCAACAGTATTTTATTGTTTCCAATGGAGTTTCGCTAAATATTCCTAATATTTTGGTTACCACCACGAGTTACCCTTGACACAACTCTGTGGAGACTGGATACCTATTTGGTTTTGTCATGATCAGATCAGATTGAGGTTAGCTTTATGCCTAGCTAGGCTAGCTGGCTAGCATAGCCTAATTTAACGTTAGTTGAGTCAGAGAAGGTTAGAGAAAGTGGTTTTGGTTGAGTTGTTACAGAATTAGCTAACTTCCATATCGGTTGCTTTTATTTTTCATATGCACCATTTTGCTCATAGAAAATGTCCCAGCTCTTCTTTGGAAAGCCAGCCCCTACCTCTCAGTCTACACCAAAACCCGGTCATCATCATCCCTCATCACCCATGGTAAATGAATGAAAATATGAGACTGTCCAGCTCAACTCTGAATGACTGATATCTTGCACCTGTGAATCCTTTGCTACTTATTGTTGACAACTGTATGCTTTCAGAAAATATTATGGTTTGATTGACATTTCTCCCTGTATCCTTAGGACCCTGATAAAGGACATGGGCCAGACCAGGACATCCCTGGTGAGACATTTTCGTTTGTGACACTGGACAATAGCCATGGACAGCAAAGGTATGGAGTTACTGGGTTTGAAGTATTATTCATTATGTGTTCTGTTCAGTATTTAACTTTTTTTTTTCATGGAAGTGAGGACTCCGGCATCAACATTTCAAACATCTCCGATAGAGGTGATGTACACAACAGTACTTCCAGCGGCATCAACATTTCAAACATCTCCGATAGAGGTGATGTACACAACAGTACTTCCAGCGAGCTCCCAGGTGAGGAGACAACAAATGTTCTCAGTTCAACGATAGAGGAGATAGGCAAGAAGGCCCAGGATCTGATAGAGAGAATCAACCAGAGCAGAGCCATGGACCAGGAAATCATGACCACCTTCGAGAACAAGTTAATTAATAAGGTATCACTGTTCTACTGTTGAGTAAAAAGCACATGGTCATAATTTTCTGTAGTTAAAAAAGAATGCATTGAGATTGAGTCTAATGTTTATGTGGAGGAGTGTGACTGTGACTAATGTGTATTTGCGTGTTTGTGTCCCTCCCCAGGTGAGTGAGGTGTGCCAGCAGGTGAAGGAGCAGATGTTCAGCAGCTATGAGGAGCATGGCCATGGGATGGAGGCCAATCTGCAGGAGCTGTCTGAGGTGCTGGAGAGGAGCAGTCAGCTCAGTATGGAGCTGCAGGGAGCCAGTCAGACCTTATCAGCCATCAACAACAGCCTGCAGCAGACAGCTGAGCACTGACATCTACCCAGCCATTAATTTATTTTAACTGCCTTATAGCATCCCCACTTCTGGGAGGTCTAGCATAATTAAAGCAATGCCTTGTGTTTGTTTGACTGTGGTATATGTCAAATAGAACATAAAACAGTGGTTGTAAACTGAGCAGGTGTTGGAAGAAGCTTTTGTTTATAAATTATTTATTACATAACTAGTGTGGATATTTTTGTTCATACCTATTACCATGTGACCAAATAGCATTATAGAACATCATATTTAATGGGCCAGAAAATTCGCTTGTGCCCAGTTTAGAATCCAAAACATTCACCTTAATGCCTATGGGTCGTTTCACCAATTTGGTGCCCTTGGAGAAGTAGTACTTGGTATTTAAAAAAAAGTTTAACATTGTCATAAAGAGCACAGAGAACTTAATAAAAAAAAGTTTTTCAAATAAATAAAAATACTATAGTAAGTGCATATTAAGTGCCAAATACAGTAACAGGGTGGATCAGCCATAAATTCCCTTGTGACGTGGAATGGAAGCTTGTTGTGTGCAACAGAGTGGAAAATGAATGCAAGCTTCACCCAACAAATTAAAATTGTTAAAACATTTCTAGCCTGTCTATCCATGGTAGGTAACACGGTTGACGTGTTATGCTCGACCCACTCAGTTTTCCATCACAAAACACCAGAAAATGTCCAAAAAGAGTAGAACCTACTCACCTGCTTTTACACTATTTGACTATTGGATGTCCAATGTTTAGAAAAAATATATAAAACGAGTTCAGTTCACATAACAGGGTTGACTGTAAAATGTACAAATATAAATTAATCACTAATCACATAAAATAAATAATAATCTTCGGGAATGACTTTGTCAAAGCAACAAAATAACTAGGGCTTTACAATGATGGTGAAAACTTGGGAGACATTTTCGGGTTAAGTGGGTTAAAATCTTCCAGAAGTCACAGAGAGTGCACAGAGGGACATGCTGAATTTAGGCTATTTATCAAGTCTTTATTCATAATACAAATCCGATTTACTGAATTCTCCATGCGGTCTATATTAAAGGGCACTTCATTTCATGTAACAGGCTTTTAAAATTCAAAATTGGTTCACAATTTCTATTTAAAATGTAAAAGGGACCCAAATGACACTGTGGAATAACCCCCCACCATCTTCTTTTTTGATTCACTTTATAACACTCCATGTTACTTAAAAAAGGAACGTTCAAAACACCACAATGAAATGAGGGATGAGTAATCCAAAAATCCCCCAACCACCCTGGATTAAATGGACCACCTGTTGATTACAAGTATTTTAATTTATAAACAAGAGACCTAATTTAGCATTAGATAATAGTGAGCATTATTACTTTGCTAGCAAAAGGAAATTGCAACAACCATGAAAGTACTGCAATAAGCATTATTTATGAAAAGCTTGAATTAACCTTGACCTTTGACAATGCAATTAAAACCATGCATAACATTTATATCTGGTTGAGTTCTGAGGAGAACAAACTTAATAAAGTGCAAACCGCATTCATTGTCCTGTACCCCAAAATAAAAATCTCTCTGATCTGCCTAAATGGTAAGTCACAAATACAACTTTCCAATTACTAAAAAAGCAATGGCATGATTATTTAAACTGCTTTAATTTAACTTATTTACTTAAATTTGAGACTTCATCAATTGATTTAACTATTTTTTTAAACTCTAACAGTAAATGCAGTATACATTATTTGGCATTCAATGACCAATAATTGGTCATTAGTACCATCACAGTTCTAAAAACTCAGGACATACTGACCTTGACCTCATTTTAAAATGTTTGTCCGACAACCATTTTACTACAATTTCTGTGAGGAAACAAGCTATTCATTCTGAACCATCTTAACTTCCACCATATAGTAAACTATTACAAACACATTGTAGTTCGAAATTGTGCAAACAAACCAGTAAGCACTAGGGTTTTATGATAGAGTAGAAAAATAGCTTTGTTTTTATAAGTTGAAATAATTACACTCATGAATTGTCCATGAGACCAATGATAGACTTGGCTTTAAAACCCGACCTGGTCTTTCGCATAAAATACTGTTTTGCCGGACACAGATTAAGCCTAATTCTGGTCTAAAAAGCTATTTCAATCGAGATTCTCCATTGAGCATGCTTTTTAGTCTAGGACTAAGCTTAATCTGTGTCCGGGAAACCGGCACCCAATGTACATATTCTCAAGAGACAGGAAACATTAGCGTTACTGTAGATGACAAGCCATCAAAGCAGTGTAGAACTACTTGTCCTTTGCTTAAGGAACAGATTTACTTGAGGTTTCTGTTAGTGGTCTGTTTGAGCACTAGCAGCAGGCTGTTAGTTATTAACAGTGAAAGACTGTAGTCCAGTGATGGCTTTTCCCAGAATCAGGGCATGGATGTCATGGGTACCTGGAACACACAAAAAAACAGTATAAGGAACCATGTGGAACAGTGCTGATGCTAAAGGTGAGTAAATATATAAAATACTGTTTTTTTCCTTTGAAAAAATCTTGGAAAATTAAATTGTTTCCCCATATGACCAAGCAGCCCTATTTATTTACTTATTTATTTATTTATTTATTTATTGTAAATTACATTTACTGACCTCTACTGGTGAGGAAATATACCATGATAAAACAAGTTTTGCTTCCACATCCATATCATCTTAGACCTGGTTATGGCCTTCTTTCTCCTCACCTTCGTATGTGTTGACGGCCTCTAGGTTCATAACATGGCGGATGATGTGGTACTCGTCAGAGATGCCGTTTCCTCCCAGCATGTCTCTGGCCTGCCGGGCAATGTCCAGGGACTTCCCACAGCTGTTCCTCTTCAGCATAGAGATCATCTCAGGGGCTGCCCTGAGGGAGGAGAGAAGACGACAAATATGAGATAAGTCTCCTCCTCAGGTTCTAGTCACAACCAGAAATTGTAGTTCCCCTATGGTGTGTGGTTCTTTGTTAAAAAATGGATTGTCACACTACAAGACGATTATGTCACATCATTTCCAGTTCCCGCTTACTTCTTGGCGTCGATGAGTCTCCCCAGCTGTAGACAGGCCTGCAGGCCAATGGTGATCTCTGTCAACATGTCGGCCATCTTTTTCTGCATCAGCTGGTTTCTGGCCAGGGGCACTCCAAACTGGATTCTGAGATGAACAAATATCATGAGTAGCAGAATATCTTAAGTTCACTCAGAAAAGCTGAGAAGACAAAATAAGATTGAAGAGCTACAGACTTTTGCTCAGTCCATCTCATCAAAAACAACATATCATACCAATAGTAGCTGCAGAATCCTCACCTGTCTAGTGTGTACTGACGGGCCGTGTGGAAGCAGAACTCTGCAGCACCTAGTGAACCCCAGGCGATGCCATACCGGGCATTGTTAAGGCAACCAAAGGGACCCTAGAGCCAAAGAGAACAGACAAAACATTTATACCAACAGGATTAAACAACATAAGGAGGTCTGGCCATCCACATAAAAGTCAGTACATGACAGTGGTATCCTGGCCTCTACTCACCCCCAGGCCAGAGACTTTGGGCAGCAGGTTCTCCTCAGGAACCTCCACCTCGTCCATGATGATCATGCCGGTAGCAGATGCCCTCAGGGAGAACTTGCCCTCGATCTTGGGTGTGGTGAAGCCCTTCATACCGCGCTCCAGGATGAAGCCACGCACCTTCCCATCGTCACACTTGGCCCATACCACAGCGATGTCCGCCACAGGGGAGTTGGTGATCCTGACGAAGGTGAAGGAGATGAGGGAAGGCATTGCAATTTAAGGAGGAGCCATTTTATCAGTCTGCTACATAGTGAGCCTGGTTTCTAGGGCTATATGAGGACAGTTTCGCAAAAGTTTCACAAGACATGATGGTAGAATTGAGCAGAACCACGTACTCAATGTCAAACTAAGCATTTGGTTGAAGTTGTGGAAGCTGCATTCCCCCAGAGAAAACAGTGTTACATCAAATATATAAAACCTGAACTACAGGCCCAAGTTACCAATTAACATTTATTTATTTATTCAGTGTTAAGCTTACGCAATGTGAGGGCCAATGCACTCAATGGTTAAGAATACAACCAAAGTCCAGTTCAGTGCTCAGTCACTGCTGACGTCTCTCAGTTCAGAATCATAACACTCTGTGAAACCTGAGTAAATGGCAACTGAGGGGAACCTAATATTCATGCACCTAGCATTAATATATTTGTGAACAGCACCACCCTGTGAAATGTTGTTTACAATTTAGACAAGAGCCAAACCGCTTGATCTTGGGTTCATTATTTGAACAAGACACATAAAAAAATGCTCTAATGAATACAAAAACTCTAATGAAAATGTATGTATAATAGAAAGCATATATTCCTATTCTTCAGAATTTTTGGAAGTAGCCTATTCTTGACATTTCATGAATAGGTTGCCTTTTCAATCAGCAGAGGAATGCATTCCAAGGTGTTGAGACAAAGGTAGCATTCATCAATGTATGTGGTCTGTAGCTGTTTGTTCTGTTATATGATCCATTGGCTATTTATAGGAAGCAATTCTAAAGTTCTTCGCATGGGCTCAAACTCAAAACCAAAACACTGACTACATCACAGTACATACACTACCGGTCAAAAGTTTTAGGACACCTACTCATTCAAGGGTTTTTCTTTATTTGTACTATTTTCTACATTGTAGAATAATAGTGAATACATCAAAATTATGAAATAACACATATGGAATCATGTAGTAACCAAAAAAAGTGTTAAACAAATCAAAATATATTTTATATTTTATATTCTTCAAATAGCCACCCTTTGCCTTGATGACAGCTTTGCACATTCTTGGCATTCTCTCAACCAGCTTCATGAGGTAGTCACCTGGAATGCATTTCAATTAACAGGTGTGCTTTCTTAAAAGTTAATTTGTGGAATTTCTTTCCTTCTTAATGCATTTGAATCAATCAGTTGTTGTGACAAGGTGGGTGGGGGGGGGGGGGGGGGGGTATACAGAAGATAGCCCTATCTGGTAAAAAAACAAGTCCATATTATGGCAAGAACAGCTCAAATATGCAAAGAGAAACGACAGTCCATCATTACTTTAAGACATGAAGGTCAGTCAATACGGACAATATCAAGAACTTTGAACGTTTCTTCAAGTGCAGTCGCAAAAACCATCAAGCGCTATGATGAAACTGGATTTTTGGTTCCAGCCGCCGTGTCTTTTTGAGACGCGGTGTGGGTGAACGGATGATATCTGCATGTGTATTTCCCACCGTAAAGCATGGAGGAGGAGGTGTTATGGTGTGGAGGTGCTTCGCTGGTGACACTGTCTGTGATTTATTTAGAATTCAAGGCACACTTAACCAGCATGGCTACCACAGCATTCTGCAGCGATACGCCATCCCATCTGGTTTGGGCTTAGTGGGACTATCATTTGTTTTTCAACAGGACAATGACCCAACACACCTCCAGGCTGTGTAAGGGCTATTTTACCAAGAAGGAGAGTGATGGAGTGCTGCATCAGATGACCTGGCCTCCACAATCCCCTGACCTCAACCAAATTGAGATGGTTTGGGATGAGTCGGACCGCAGAGTGAAGGAAAAGCAGCCAACAAGTGCTCAGTATATGTGGGAACTCCTTCAAGACTGTTGGAAAAGCATTCCAGGTGAAGCTGGTTGAGAGAATGCCAAGAGTGTGCAAAGCTGTCATCAAGGCAACGGGTGGCTATTTGAAGAATCTCAAATATAAAATATATTTTGATTTGTTTAACACACTTTTGGTTACTACATGATTCCATGTGTGTCATTTCATTGTTTTGATGTCTTCAATATTATTCTACAATGTAGAAAATAGTAAAAATAAAGAAAAACCGTTGAATGAGTAGGTGTTCTAAAACTTTTGACCGGTAGTGTACATTGAGGTTCCCCTAATGCCTGCTATCCAGCTACACACAGCACTGTCCAGTCAGTCCTGAAGTCCTCATGCTCATTGGGTGATGAACTGTTTCCTTCACTATGTAGTAGGGCAGTGAATTGCCAGGGACCTCCCGCTACGCTATTACCACGATACTTAGGTGCCGATACGATATGTATTGCAATTCTCATGATTCTATATGTATTGTAATTCAATACTGCGATTTTATTGCGATTTTATATTCCAAACATATTGCTCACTATATGTCTGCTGCAGAGACTAGAGAGAGGATGAGAAAATGAGTTTTGATCAGTCATGGAAATAAAAGTGCAAAAAATATGTTGGCTCACTATTTAAAAAGAAGATGGAGAACAAGCTATAGGATGAGAAATACCAGAGTTTTGGTGCAGGTACAGCTGACTAACACTATCTAGCAAAAAAAAAAAGTATATATATATATAAAGATATCGTCCAAAATAATATTGCGATATGTAACTGTATCGATTTCTTCCCCCATCACTACTATGTAGTGAAGTACAGTCTCCCAGTCCTACTCACCAGGTCTTGGAGCCGGTGAGGGTGAAGGTGCGGCTGGAGGGGTTGAACTTGGCCCGGGTCTCCATTCCACCGGGGTCACTGCCGTGGTTGGGCTCAGTCAACCCAAAACAGCCCAGGATCTCTCCACGAGCTGGGAGGTAGAGGACGCATTACAGGACAAATACACCCAGATATAAACAGGATTGTGCTTAATTTAAGATGAGGCCTAGGGGATGTGGATGTCCCCTCCTCCTTACCCAGCCTGGGCAGCCACTTCTCCTTCTGCTCTTCGGTACCATATGCGTAGATAGGGTGCATGACCAGGGAGGACTGCACACTCATGACAGAGCGGTAGCCGCTGTCCACCCTCTCCACTTCCCTTGCGATCAAACCGTAGGCCACATAGCTCGTCCCAGCACAGCCATAGCCTGGTCAAAGTGTGGAGGGAGAGAGGTCACATCATAGGCAATAACCTCCAAACAAACAATAGGCCTATATTAAAAGGGAATTTACATTATCTATCCAGTTATCTAATTTACATTATCTATATTTGAGTGCTTCTGGCATCACACATATAGTTGATTCTGAAAAACGAATAGTCTTTAACTGTCTGTGATCAAAATGATCAAAGTCCATTTCACAGAAAACAAAATCACTCTTAGAAAGCTTTCAGAGAATGATATAACCCCTGGGGGGCTTTATTTTTTAAATGTTTTTTATTTAACCTTTATTTAACCAGGTAAGCCAGTTGAGAACAAGTTCTCATTTACAACTGCGACCTGGCCAAGATAAAGCAAAGCAGTGCGATAAAAACAACAACACAGAGTTACATATGGGGTAAAACAAAACAAAGTCAAAAAATACAACAGAAAATATATATACAGTGTGTGCAAATGTAGCAAGTTATGGAGGTAAGGCAATAAATAGGCTATAGTGCAAAATAATTACAATTAGTATTAATGGAATGATAGATGTGCAAGAGATTATGTGCAAATAGAAATACTGGGGTGAAAATGAGCAAAATAAATAACAATATGGGGATGAGGTAGTTGGGTAGGCTAATTACAGATGGGCTGTGTACAGGTGCAGTGATCGGTAAGCTGCTCTGACAACTGATGCTTAAAGTTAGTGAGGGAGATAAGAGTCTCCAGCTTCAGAGATTTTTGCAGTTCGTTCCAGTCATTGGCAGCAGAGAACTGGAAGGAATGGCGGCCAAAGGAGGTGTTGGCTTTGGGGATGACCAGTGAGATATACCTGCTGGAGCGCAATACCTGGGTGTTGCTATGGTGACCAATGAGCTAAGATAAGGCGGGGATTTGCCTAGCAGTGATATATAGATGACCTGGAGCCAGTGGGTTTGGTGACGAATATGCAGTGAGGGCCAGCCAACGAGAGTGTACAGGTCACAATGGTGGGTAGTATATGGGGCTTTGGTGACAAAACGGATGGCACTGTGATAGACTACATCCAATTTGCTGAGTAGAGTGTTGGAGGCTATTTTGTAAATTACATCACCGAAGTCAAGGATCGGTAGGATAGTCAGTTTTACGAGGGCATGTTTGGCAGCATGAGTGAAGCAGGCTTTGTTGTGAAATAGGAAGCCGATTCTAGATTTAACTTTGGATTGGAGATGCTTAATGTGAGTCTGGAAGGAGAGTTTACGGTCTAACCAGACACCTAGGTATTTGTAGTTGTTCACATATTCTAAGTCAGACCCGCCAAGAGTAGTGATTCTAGTCGGGTGGGTAGGTGCAAGCAGCGTTCGATTGAAGAGCAGGCATTTAGTTTTACTAGTGTTTAAGAGCAGTTGGAGGCTACGGAAGGAGTGTTGTATGGCATTGAAGCTCGTTTGGAGGTTTGTTAACACAGTTGTTAACACAGTGTCCAATGAAGGGCCATATGTATATAAAATGGTGTCGTCTGTGTAGAGGTGGATCTGAGAGTCACCAGCAGCAAGAGCGACATCATTGATATACACAGAGAATAGAGTCGGCCAGAGAATTGAACCCTGTGGCACCCCCATAGAGACTGCCAGAGGTCCAGACAACAGGCCCTCCGATTTGACACATTGAACTCTATCTGAGAAGTAGTTGGTGAACCAGGCGAGGCAGTCATTTGAGAAACCAAGGCTATTTAGTCTGCCAATAAGAATGCGGTGATTGACAGAGTCAAAAGCCTTGGCCAGGTCGATGAAGACGGCTGCACAGTACTGTCTTTTATCGATCGCGGTTATAATATCGTTTAGGACCTTGAGCGTGGCTGAGGTGCACCCATGACCAGCTCGGAAACCAGATTGCATAGCGGAGAAGGTACGGTGGGATTCGAAATGGTCGGTGATCTGTTTGTTAACTTGGCTTTCAAATACTTTTGAAAGGCAGGGCAGGATGGATATAGGTCTGTAACATTTTGAATCTAGAGTGTCACCCCCTTTGAAGAGGGGGATGACCGCGGCAGCTTTCCAATCTCTGGGGATCTCAGACGATACGAAAGAGAGGTTGAACAGGCTAGTAATAGGGGTTGCGACAATTTTGGCGGCTAATTTTAGAAAGAAAGGGTCCAGATTGTCTAGCCCAGCTGATTTGTAGGGGTCCAGATTTTGCAGCTCTTTCAGAACATCAGCTGTCTGAATTTGGGTGAAGGAGAAGCTGGGGGGGCATGGGCAAGTTGCAGCGGAGGGTGCAGAGCTGGTGGCCGGGGTAGGGGTAGCCAGGTGGAAAGCATGGCCAGCCGTAGCAAAATGCTTGTTGAAATTCTCGATTATCGTAGATTTATCAGTGGTGACAGTGTTTCCTAGCCTCAGTGCAGTGGGCAGCTGGAATGAGGTGCTCTTATTCTCCATGGACTTTACAGTGTCCCAAAACTTTTTGGAGTTAGTGCTACAGGATGCAAATTTCTGTTTGAAAAAGCTAGCCTTTGCTTTCCTAACTGATTGTGTATATTGGTTCCTGACTTCCCTGAAAAGTTGCATATCGCGGGGGCTGTTCGATGCTAATGCAGTACGCCACAGGATGTTTTTGTGCTGGTCAAGGGCAGTCAAGTCTGGGGTGAACCAGGGGCTATATCTGTTCTTAGTTCTGCATTTTTTGAATGGGGCATGCTTATTTAAGATGGAGAGGAAAGCACTTTTAAAGAACAACCAGGCATCCTCTACTGACGGAATGAGGTCAATATCCATCCAGGATACCCGGGCCAGGTCAATTAGAAAGGCCTGCTCGCTAAAGTGTTTTAGGGAGTGTTTGACAGTGATGAGGGGTGGTCGTTTGACCGCGGACCCATTACGGAAGCAGGCAATGAGGCAGTGATCGCTGAGATCCTGGTTGAAGACAGCGGAGGTGTATTTAGAGGGTAAATTAGTCAGGATGATATCTATGAGGGTGCCCATGTTTACGGATTTAGGGTTGTACCTGGTAGGTTCCTTGATAATTTGTGTGAGATTGAGGGCATCTAGTTTAGATTGTAGGATGGCCGGGGTGTTAAGCATATCCCAGTTTAGGTCACCAAGCAGTACGAACTCTGAGGATAGATGGGGGGCAATCAATTCACATATGGTGTCCAGGGCACAGCTGGGGGCTGAGGGGGATTTGTAGCAAGCGGCAACAGTGAGAGACTTATTTCTGGAAAGGTGGATTTTTAGAAGTAGAAGCTCAAACTGTTTGGGCACAGACCTGGATAGTATAATAGAGCTCTGCAGGCTATCTCTACAGTAGATTGCAACTCCAACCCCTTTGGCAGTTCTATCTAGACGGAAAATGTTGTAGTTGGTGGCCTTCCTAAGCCAGGATCCAAACACTGCTAGAACATCAGGGTTGGCGGAGTGTGCTAACGCAGTGAATAACTCAAACTTAGGGAGGAGGCTTCTGATGTTAACATGCAAGAAACCAAGGCTTTTACGGTTACAGAAGTCAACAAATGATAACGCCTGGGGAGTAGGAGTGATACTGGGGGCTACAGGGTCTGGGTTAACCTCTACATCACCAGAGGAACAGAGGAGGAATAGAATAACAGGTACATTATCCATTTCAAATCATACGTTTATAAAACATGTACCTGTAGGCTGCCACTCAAAATAAAATTTTAAACAGTAAGAAATACATTGAGTTTAAGTAATAATAAATTCAGAATAAACATGAAAAGAAAATAAAACAAAAAGGAAGGGGCCTCCACCCCCAACCTCCCACCCCATTCCGCCAACATGTCCACCCCCCAACCTCCCACCCCATTCCGCCAACATGTCCACCCCCCAACCTCCCACCCCATTCCGCCAACATGTCCACCCCCCAACCTCCCACCCCATTCCGCCAACATGTCCACCCCCCAACCTCCCACCCCATTCCGCCAACATGTCCACCCCCCAACCTACCACCCCATTCCCCCAACATGTCCACCCCATTCCCCCAACATGTCCACCCCCCAACCTACCACCCCATTCCCCCAACATGTCCACCCCCCAACCTCCCACCCCATTCCGCCAACATGTCCACCCCCCAACCTCCCACCCCATTCCGCCAACATGTCCACCCCCCAACCTACCACCCCATTCCCCCAACATGTCCACCCCATTCCCCCAACATGTCCACCCCCCAACCTCCCACCCCATTCCGCCAACATGTCAACCCCCCAACCTCCCAACCCCATTTCGCCAACATGTCCAAAAAAGCATGTCAAAAATGTTATAAATTGATTTGCATTTTAATGAGGAAAATAAGTATTTGACCCCTTTGCAAAACATGACTTAGTACTTGGTGGCAAAACCCTTGTTGGCAATCACAGAGGTCAGACGTTTCTTGTAGTTGGCCACCAGGTTTGCACACATCTCAGGAGGGATTTTGTCCCACTCCTCTTTGCAGATCTTCTCTAAGTCATTAAGGTTTCGAGCCTGACGTTTGGCAACTCGAACCTTCAGCTCCCTCCACAGATTTTCTATGGGATTAAGGTCTGGAGACTGGCTAGGCCACTCCAGGACCTCAATGTGCTTCTTCTTGAGCCACTCCTTTGTTGCCTTGGCCGTGTGTTTTGGGTCATTGTCATGCTGGAATACTCATCCGCAACCCATTTTCAATGCCTTGGCTGAGGGAAGGAGGTTCTCACCCAAGATTTTACGATACATGGCCCCGTCCATCGTCCCTTTGATGTGGTGAAGTTGTCTTGTCCCCTTAGCAGAAAAACACCCCCAAAGCATAATGTTTCCACCTCCATGTTTGATTGTGGGGATGGTGTTCTTGGGGTCATAGGCAGCATTCCTCCTCCTCCAAACATCTGACCACAACACTTTCACCCAGTTATCCTCTGAATCATTCAGATGTTCATTGGCAAACTTCAGACGGGCCTGTATTTGTGCTTTCTTGAGCCGGGGGACCTTGCGGGCGCTGCAGGATTACAGTCCTTCACGGCGTAGTGTGTTACCAATTGTTTTCTTGGTGACTATGGTCCCAGCTGCCTTGAGATCATTGACAAGATCCTCCCGTGTAGTTCTGGGCTGATTCCTCACTGTTCTCATGATCATTGCAACTCCACGAGGTGAGATCTTGCATGGAGCCCCAGGCTGAGGGAGAGTGACAGTTCTTTTGTGTTTCTTCCATTTGCGAATAATCGCACCAAAACTTGTCCCTGACATCCTTGGAGAGCTCTTTGGTCTTGGCCATGGTGGAGAGTTTGGAATCTGATTGATTGATTTCTTCTGTGGACAGGTGTCTTTTATACAGGTAACAAGCTGAGATTAGGAGCACTCCCTTTAAGAGTGTGCTCCTAATAAAATAAAATAAAATAAAATTAAATTTTATTGGTCACATGCGCCGAATACAACAGGTGCAGACATTACAGTGAAATGCTTACTTACAGCCCTTAACCAACAGTGCATTTATTTTTAACAAAAAAAAGTAAAAATAAAACAACAACAAAAAAAGTGTTGAGAAAAAAAGAGCAGAAGTAAAATAAAGTGACATTAGGGAGGCTATATATACAGGGGGGTACCGTTGCAGAGTCAATGTGCGGGGGCACCGGCTAGTTGAGGTAGTTGAGGTAATATGTACATGTGGGTAGAGTTAAAGTGACTATGCATAAATAATTAACAGAGTAGCAGCAGCGTAAAAAGGATGGGGTGGGGGGGCAGTGCAAATAGTCCGGGTAGCCATGATTAGCTGTTCAGGAGTCTTATGGCTTGGGGGTCTCAGCTCGTTACCTGTATAAAAGACACATGGGAGCCAGAAATCTTTCTGATTGAGAGGGGGTCAAATACTTATTTCCCTCATTAAAATGCAAATCAATTTATAACATTTTTGACATGCGTTTTTCTGGATTTCTTTGTTGTTATTCTGTCTCTCACTGTTCAAATAAACCTACCATTAAAATTATAGATTGATCATTTCTTTGTCAGTGGGCAAATGTATAAAATCAGCAGGGGATCAAATACTTTTTTCCCTCACTGTAACTGCAGGGCACTCTCACAGCATATGGAGTTGGGGCCAATTTCATCGTAAAACGTTTCCTTGGTGTTAAATGCAGTCTGTGAACAAATTTAAAATGTATAAATTGATGGTTCGGATTACGGGATGCCATATTTTTCCATATTCTGTTCCAGTTAAAGGGTTGTTCAGATTCAACAAGATCTTTGAACCAAACTTTTTTAATAGCTAGCTCAGAATATGAGCTTTCCAAAAGTTGTTTATATATTATAGAGATCAGTCCTTTCGGGAGCCCAGATCATTTATTTATAAATCCCATCATTGGATGGTTAGGTAGTTGGGTTTCCCAAGGGACTCCATAGGCCAGCATAGCTGACCTAAGTTGTAAATATAGAAAAAAGGATTTGCCTGGTAATGTGTATGTCTTTCAAATCTTGGAATGTTCTCAAACCATTAACGTCCATGATATCGGCAAGGCCGCCCTCCAGATCGCAAAGGTATTGACTCACCTTTAATGGTTGGGCCCAGGACACCCAGCTCCCCCATCTCTGACACAATGTCCCGATGGAACACTAAGAGAGATAAAACAGGCAGCATGTTATGTTGACACGGTTTGCATAACTGCCAAAATTCATAATATTAACAGGCAAAACTGATCCTTAAGTGTTCCTTCCTAGGTTACTGGCATAAATAGCCCAATGGGCCCTGCCTGGGTGATGGTGCGTCTCAAGAGTCAGACCCACCTTCGTTTCTGTTGGCCATCAGAATGCGGGGCATGAGTTTTTCCTGACAGTAGTCACGGAACGAGTCTCGGATCATGATCTCTTCCTCAGTCAGCTGACCCTCCAGCTCCAGGCCATCCCGCCAGTTAAACTGAACCTTGGCTGGTGGTTCAGTAAAGGGATCATAGAGCAGAGAAGCACAATTGAATAGTCATCAGACCCCCAAAATAATAGAAGGGCAATATATGTATGACTGATCTGAAATGGAGTTGATATCGACATACGTGCTTTAGTCTTCTTCTCACTAGCTTTCTCTGCATCTGTGGAAACAAGGTTTGTCTTCATAAGATACACTTGAAGGACAGATTGAGTACTTCCCCTGACAAATAGAGGCATGATGACTGTAATAATGGCTTTGTAAAACTGCTACCATTGTGTTCTCATGATGGCAAGGTCATTATTGAGTAATGTTATACCCTTTTGTGCAGGCGCTGCTGATCCCTGTGATCTTGATGCTAAAATGATGGCACATCTCTGGGGGTTGACCAGCAGACGGCACACAGCGCTTCTCAGTGCCATGATGGGTAGCTAGATTTCTATGAGAGAAAAACAAGGAGGAAAACATTTAGGAGCAAATAATCCATAAAACAATGCAACAAACCCAAATAGTTGTCATTTCAAAGACATGATAGGTTATAACTTTCAACAACCATGTCATTTGAGAGAGAAGGTGGCTCAACCAGAGAAAGCAACTAGCAATTTGATCTCATGTAGCTGTATAGGATAGTTTGAGAGGTGAAATAAGTCATGATTAGTTTCGAAAATGTTGAAAGAACGATGTGGTTGTTGGCAGACAAGTTGTTACACAAGATAACATTAGCACTAGCTAGTAGCTATGCTAACTCTTTATAGCTAGCTAAATGTCGATCTGCAGGCAACTGAAATGACAGCTATTAACTCAACTCACTGTGTGTGTGTGTTGGTCACGTTAGTTGAGGTTAAAATGTTAGTTGCGATAGCTAAAAGAGCTAGCTAGCTATTTAGCTAGTTGCTACATGCATATACATTAATACTATTAGCTAGCTTGATAGTCAGTCTTGCTCGACTATCAAGCTGTAAAAGCATAGTATCGAGTTTGTTTACAGACTGGACACGAGCCCAGGTTTACTGTTTCATCAATGTCCCAAAGATGTTGGCTAATTTCAATACATAGATTGACCTGTAATTTACAGTGCTGGAGATCCGTGACCCAGGGCTCCGTAGTCCTTCCCAGATTGACAAAGTTAAGGAGGACAAACGTCAACACAAGCGCCTGCGTAAATTAGGTCAGGAATGATTAGGTTCTGTCGCCATTTTGAGTGTGGCAAATGGAGGCTAGAATGACAAAATAACATTTTCATGGAATGTCTGAAACCAAATGTAACTGATAGTGGGAAGTAAATTACTATGAACTGATAGTGGGAAGTAAATTACTATGAACTGATAGTGGGAAGTAAATTACTGTTAGTTTTGTGTTTCTCTTTTCATCACTCACTATGGCTGCTTTCTAGTGTCTCTCCATGCTGTCGCGTATTTTTTGACTATTCTCTGATTGGTTTATTAGCGGGGGCGTGCAGATTCAAGGCGTGGCTATGAGAGGGTTTTATTCATGCATTGACCTCATGTTCATAACTATTTTCAGAACATATTGACAGTGGTGGAAAAAGTACCCAATTTCATACTTGAGTAAATGTAAAGATACCTTAATAGAAAATGACTCAAGTAAAAGTGAAAGTAACCCAGTAAAATACTACTTGAGTCAAAAATATTTGGTTTTAAATATACTTAAGTATCAAAAGTAAATGTAATTGCTAAAATATACTTAAGTATCAAAAGTAAAAGTATAAATAATTTCAAATTCCTTATATTAAGCAAACCAGATGGCACAATGTTCTTATTTTATTTTATTGGCAGATAGCCAGGGGCACACTCAAACACTCAGAAATGATTTACAAAGGAAGCATTTGTGTTTAGTGAGTCCCCCAGATCAGAGGCAGTAGGGATGACCAGGTATGTTCTCTTGATCAGTGCGTGAATTGGACAATTTTCCTGTCCTGCTAAGCATTCAAAATTTAAAGAGTACTTTTGGGTGTCAGGGAAAATGTATGGAGTAAAAAATATATTATTTTCTTTAGGAATGTATTGAAGTAAAAGTAAAAATATGAATAGTAAAGTCAAGTAAAGATACTACTTAAGTAGTCCTTTAAAGTATTTTTACTTACAGTGGGGAAAAAAAGTAGTTAGTCAGCCACCAATTGTGCAAGTTCTCCCACTTAAAAAGATGAGAGAGGCCTGTAATTTTCATCATACGTACACGTCAACTATGACAGACAAAATGAGAAAAAACATCCAGAAAATCACATTGTAGAATTTTTAATGAATTTATTTGCAAATTATGGTGGAAAATAAGTATTTGGTCAATAACAAAAGTTTCTCAATACTTTGTTATATACCCTTTGTTGGCAATGACACAGGTCAAACGTTTTCTGTAAGTCTTCACAAGGTTTTCACACACTGTTGCTGGTATTTTGGCCCATTCCTCCATGCAGATCTCCTCTAGAGCAGTGATGTTTTGGGGCTGTCGCTGGGCAACACGGACTTTCAACTCCCTCCAAAGATTTTCTATGGGGTTGAGACCTGGAGACTGGCTAGGCCACTCCAGGACCTTGAAATGCTTCTTACGAAGCCACTCCTTCGTTGCCCGGGCGGTGTGTTTGGGATCATTGTCATGCTGAAAGACCCAGCCACGTTTCATCTTCAATGCCCTTGCTGATGGAAGGAGGGTTTCACTCAAAATCTCACGATACATGGCCCCATTCATTCTTTCCTTTACACGGATCAGTCGTCCTGGTCCCTTTGCAGAAAAACAGCCCCAAAGCATGATGTTTCCACCCCCATGCTTCACAGTAGGTATGGTGTTCTTTGGATGCAACTCAGCATTCTTTGTCCTCCAAACACGACGAGTTGAGTTTTTACCAAAAAGTTATATTTTGGTTTCATCTGACCACATGACATTCTCCCAATCCTCTTCTGGATCATCCAAACGCACTCTAGCAAACTTCAGACGGGCCTGGACATGTACTGGCTTAAGCAGGGGGACACGTCTGGCACTGCAGGATTTGAGTCCCTGGCGGCGTAGTGTGTTACTGATGGTAGGCTTTGTTACTTTGGTCCCAGCTCTCTGCAGGTCATTCACTAGGTCCCCCCGTGTGGTTCTGGGATTTTTGCTCACCGTTCTTGTGATCATTTTGACCCCACGGGGTGAGATCTTGCATGGAGCCCCAGATCGAGGGAGATTATCAGTGGTCTTGTATGTCTTCCATTTCCTAATAATTGCTCCCACAGTTGATTTCTTCAAACCAAGCTGCTTACCTATTGCATATTCAGTCTTCCCAGCCTGGTGCAGGTCTACAATTTTGTTTCTGGTGTCCTTTGACAGCTCTTTGGTCTTGGCCATAGTAGAGTTTGGAGTGTGACTGTTTGAGGTTGTGGACAGGTGTCTTTTATACTGATAACAAGTTCAAACAGGTGCCATTAATACAGGTAACGAGTGGAGGACAGAGGAGCCTCTTAAAGAAGAAGTTACAGGTCTGTGAGAGCCAGAAATCTTGCTTGTTTGTAGGTGACCAAATACTTATTTTCCACCATAATTTGCAAATAAATTCATTAAAAATCCTACAATGTGATTTTCTGGATTTTCTTTTCTCATTTTGTCTGTCATAGTTGTCGTGTACCTATGATGAAAATTACAGGCCTCTCTCATCTTTTTAAGTGGGAGAACTTGCACAATTGGTGGCTGACTAAATACTTTTTTTCCCACTGTATGTACTTTTACACCACTGCATATGGACCTGTGGCTCCATGCATTTTCCACACTTCAATTTTTTACCATCAAGCTGATAAAAACTTTTGTCATTTATCATAGCATACATTAACTTGACTATGACTTGGGATGTTGCCTGTAGATAACAATTGAAACATTGAGTCACGAGAGTCTGATTACTTGAGCAACCACTTTCATGACTTTGCCCTTTTCTCCGGAGCACAAAAGGAGAATATTTTTCATATTATTCTAAGATGCCAGCAGAGTGCGGCACATTGACATTTGTGTAATGAGCACAATGTAACATGCACTAATATGATAAGAGTATAATAGAGCTATAATACTCTACAAAGCTCATTGAAGGTTTGTTTCTGATTGTTGTTAATTAAATGTGCAAAGAGATGTTGATTCCAGACATGCACCTCCCCATCCCACATTTAGAAAACAGTCTATAATTCAATGAGAATTAAATAAATGAATCATTGAAAAAAAGCACTTAAATCCTGTGTGACACCTGGCAGAAGCAGTGTGCTGTTGAAAGGCCCTAAGGAATCCTGTAGTGAGATGCCCATTTAGTTAAGACCTTCAAGGTACCAGCCATGGTGACACAGAAAAAAAACAGATATGGTGTGTAGTAGCCTGCTGTCAGGCTGAATTATGAATGAATGAATATAATCTATAATCAATAGTCTCTTGAATTTTTACCAGGCCAGTCACACATTGAGTTTGAACAATAGCCACGTTGATATGGTGCCAATGTGATGCCCCCCAAAAGTGTCATGAAAATGTAATTGTTTGCCAATCATCGGAGTTGGATAGATAGGCACCAATCCCAGCTTTCTTCTCTCTTTTGAAAATAATATTTTAGCTTGACTGCACCTCCAACACAGTTCTTACAACTTTTTTGTGTAGCTCAATTCATCAGATAAATTAGAAAACAAATTACTGAGCAAGTAGGCTTAACCTTTATCGTACTCCTAGTCCCTTTTCACAGCGGCTTTTCTACTCAAGTCCTGACTGGTATTTAATATTTTAGGAAATCTTGCAGCTTCTGTTCTTGACACACTGTATCATACTGTATAAAACATGTCCCTGTGATCTGCATATGAAAATAAATACATAGGCTATACTGTATGTGATATGGTCACGTTGATTTACCGTTATAATAGCAGTGTGTCATCGTGCTCCCACCCACGTCCAGTGATTCGTCTATTTGCCCGTCATTCAAAGTTTTGTTGCCATTCGTTGGTGAACTTTTTCAACCAAGGAACGTCTCACTAAATATTATGAGTTCGGTTCAGATTTGGAGTGGACTTCAGCGCAGTAACCTTATCCGTAGGCTATCCATTTGGACTGGAAATTATGATATATGTAGTCTTACAATTTTAGTTTACAAGTGGACTCACTAATTCATGATGGAACTGGAGGGTGAGAAACCGAAGTATGGTAAGTTGTTAGCTTGTTTAGTTTTAATAGGCTACCATATCTCTTTAACAGCGCTTTCACTGTCCTGGGATAGCAAGCTGACCAGCCCCATATAGTTTCGTTTTCATATATCAAGAGGACTGGATCGTGGAGTGCAACATTTTATTGGTGTGTGCTGGATGCATGTAACAATTAAACTCAGCATTTGGCTACTACATATTTGATTTACCCCGTTGAAGTAGCCTAACTCAATCAACTTTTTGCCTGTCTCCTTTTCAGAGAATAGACGAATGGAAATTGACTCTCACAATTTGAGCCATCATTCCCATGCATAATCGGGACTGTTGGTATATGCTTCTGTTTTGGGCTAGCCTACAGATTGCATTCGATTAGCCTATGTTGTTGTTGCCTCTCGCACACTCCCACGCCCAGGTCTCATCCCTGTGCCAAACAATGAGACTGCTGAGAAATTAGTGGTATAAGGGCCTACAACATTCCATACAATAAATGCACACTTGTATGCAAATGCAAATACTGTAGCCTATCTCAAATTATCATACAATATGATTCTCAAATAGACGGTGGGATTTTAAGTTTCTTTCAATTCTCAGATTTACTTTACAGTTTAACCCTAATAGCAAACTACATGCTTACTACTGATTAACTGAAAATATTAGTGTCCCTACTCAGCCTTTGCATGTCCAGATGCTACATTCCTCAGCCTGGTATGGCTCTCTAGAGAATGACTTACCAGCTTTCCAAATATAGATTAGTTAATAAATAAATGCCTCATGGTAGGTCTGAATCTGAATTTAGAGAAGATACGGTGTGTATTGTTTCAGCTATTGTCAACAAAAACCTGCTATTCCCTGCAATATAAAGGTATTGGTATGTTAATGGATCCAAACAATTGTTGTTCATGTAAGGGAAAGGGTTTTCATTGAAGATATGTTCTCATAATACTTTAGTTAATTTATGCTGCCTAAAAAGAGCAAGAATCTCTGCTGGAGTAGGCCAACCTCTGTCAAAATGATAGAGTCTGACTCCACAGTTGTAA